TATGCAAAAACCAAACTTTGACCCATACTTCACACCATATACAAAAATGAGCTCAAGATATATATTGAACACCTAAATGTCAAACATAAAACTACAAAACATCTAGAAGAAAACATAAGACAATGTCTTTGTGACCTTTGGTTAGGCTAAGATTTCTTATATGATGCCAAAAGCACTATCCATATAGAACAAACTGATAAATTGAACTTTATCAAAATGAAAAAGCTTCTGCTCTTTAAAAGACTCTTAAGAGAATGGAAAGAGAGCAGCCCAGGTGGCTCAGTGGTTTAGAAAAATATGATGGTGAGTGATAATTGACTTAGTTGATAGCATGGTTAAATTTTTTTTTCAATTATTTAATCATGAATGTGATCCTATTCTGATATTTCTTTAATTTTCTCTTGTCATTATTACTAGTTAGTATTCAGAATCCATGGATACAAGTTATATTATCTTTTTTATCAAGACTTTTGGAAGCAAAAGCCTGTAAGGAGGAACTTTTCTTCTGTAAAAATTTATTCATTTGTTTATTGAGCACTAATGTAAGTGGCTTGGAATACAATGCTGAACAAGAAGACATGGACTTAGGCCTAGTAGGATTTACAGTTTAATAAAGGAACATAGGGCAGCCCTGGTGGCGTAGCGGTTTAGCGCCGCCTTCACCCAAGGCATGATCCTGGAGACCAAGGATTGAGTCCACATTGGGCTCCCTGCATGGAGCCTGCTTCTCCCTCTGCCTGTATCTCTGCCTCTTTCTCTCTGTGTGTCTCTCATAAATAAATAAAATCTTAAAAAAAAGAGAGAGAGAGAGTATGGAAATATAAGTCATTGACTAGAAAATGGATTTTCAAGTCACATGTCTAACAAAGGGCTTATACCCAAAATATACAAAGAATTCTCAAAACCCAAAAGTAAGAAAACAAGAAACCCAATAAAAAGTGTGGAAAATATTTGACTAGAAACTTCAAAAAAGAAGATATACAAGAGGCAAATAAGTAAATGAAAAAATGCTCAACATCAGTAGTCATTAGAAAGATGCAAATGAAAACCACAATGAGATAACACTACACACCTATTAGAATGGCTAAAGTTAAAGGGACTCTGCATAGTAAGTGTTGATAAGGTTATAGGGCAACTGGAACTGCTGGTGGGACCATAAATAGTACAACTACTTTGGAAAATAGTTTGGTAGTTTCCTTAGGAGTTAAATATACACCTGCCTATCATAATATTCAGTCATCCCACTCCCAATATATTAACACAAAAGAAATGAAAGTAGATGCCTATACAGAGATTGTAAAAAAAAAAAATAGGAATTTTGTGTAGTGACCAAAAATTATAAATTATCCAAATATCTATAAATAAATAAATGGAGGGGCGGCCCGGATGGTTCAGCGGTTTAGCGCCGCCTACAGCCCAGGGTGGGATCCTGGAGACCTGGGATCGAGTCCCACATGGGGCTTCCTGCATGGAGCCTGCTTCTCCCTCTGCCTGTGTCTCTGCCTCTCTCTCTCTCTCCCCCTGTGTGACTATCATAAATAAATAAAAATTTAAAAAAATAAAAATAATAAATGAAATCTTTTAAAAATAAATAAATAAATGAATGAATAAATGGATAAACGGTAGTATATCCATAAAATGAAATACTTCTCAGCAATTAAAAAGAATGATGTATCAATAAATGCAATAACATAGAAGATATAAAAAATAATTATGTTGTACAAAAGAAGACAGGTAAAAGGGGGGGAGATGGAGAGAGAGCAAAAGAGAGAGAAACCAAGTGGAAACAAGGTCTCAAAGGCTCTCAAGGCAAAGGAGGAGGAGCTTTTGAAGAAGTATGAGGCTGGCTTCAGCAGTATAATAAACTATGGAAAGGTCAATCAAGGCAAATTGTGAAAATAGGCCATAAAACCCAGCAATTAGAGGTGTTTTGTGATGATACTGAGAACAATTCCAAATATACTTTTGGGTACCAAAACCAGATTATGGCACATTGAGAAATAAACAGAAGTTACAACAATTAAGTATAGAATTCTCCTTAACGGAGAGTGAAGACTGTGTTTTCATGAAGTTTAGTGGTTAAGGAAGGACAAAGAGATTAGCTTTGAAAAAAAGTTTTTAAAAACATAGAGTTTACTTACAGACCAGGAGTACCTGGCTAAGGGACAAACACAGTATGATTCATGATATGGACAAAAATAAAAGACCTTGAACCATGTATAATCCAATCTAAATGGAATTAAAACTGAAGTATAACATTAAACTGTAATGCTATCTGAAGAAAATGTAAGAAAATACTTTTGTGATCCTTGGATAATGAAGACTTCTCAAGTAAAACCTAAGAAGTATAAAACCACGAGGTAAAAATGGTTTAAGTTCAGACTTAATGGTAAGGGAGACCAAGAAGCAGGACTGGAACCAGGAGATAATCATCATCGTTTTAGATCAGAAGGACCGTGCTGTTTTTACTCGACAAGGAGAAGATCTTTTCATGTATATGGATATACAGCTGGTTGAAGCCCTGTGTGGCTTTCAAAAGCCAGTATCTACTCTTGACAACTGAACCATTGTCATCACCTCTCATCCAGGTCAGATTGTCAAGCATGGGGATATCAAGTGTGTGCTAAATGAAGGCATGCCAATTTATCGTAGACCATATGAGAAGGGTCGCCTAATCATCGAATTTAAGGTAAACTTCCCCCAGAATGGCTTTCTCTCTCCTGATAAACTTTCTGGAAAAAAAAACTACCTGAGAGGAAGGAAGTAGAAGAGACTGGAAAAACTCCTGGAAAAACTCCTACCTGAGAAAACTGGAAGGAAGTAGAAGAGACTGATGAAATGGACCAGGTAGAAATGGTGGACTTTGATCCCAATCAGGAAAGATGGCACCATTACAATGGGGAAGGATATGAGAATGATGAACATCATCCTAGGGGTGGTGTTCAGTGTCAGATCTCTTAATGGGACCAGTGAATAACACTGCTGCTGGCATTTTATATGCAGTAGTGAATGAATGAATGACTACAATCATAGCTCACTACTTGCTATTGTTTTTGTTTTAATATTCAACTATAGTAGTGTTTTAAAAGTTAAATGAATAATAAACTCAAATATAAAAGCTCAAAAAAACCCAAAAAACAAAAACAATGACCATGTAGTCAGCTACATCAAAATTAAGGATTTCTGTTCAATTAAGAACACAATAGATAAAATTAACAGACAGTTACACTCCGGGGAGATAAATGCAACATCTAAAATTGTCATGGAGGGGCAGCCCGGGTGGCTCAGCGGTTTGGCATCTGCCTCCAGCCCAGGGTGTGATCCTGGAGACCCGGGATGGAGACCTGGGATCGAGTCCCATGTCGGGCTCCCTGCAGGGAGCCTGCTTCTCCCTCTGCCTGTGTCTCTGCCTCTCTCTCTCTCTCATGAATAAATAAAATCTTTAAAATAAGTAAATAAATAAACAAATAAATAAATAAATAAAAATAAAATTGTCATGGAGATATTAAAATATACAAAAAGCTTAATAGAAAAATGGACAAATGGGCAGTTCACAGACTAATTATGTACAAATTTGCTGATAAAATATACACACATTAAAACTACAATGAGGGGCACCTGGGTAGCTTTGTAGGTTGAACATCTGACTCTTGGTCTCAGCTTAGGTCTTGATCTCAGGGTCCTGAGTTCAAGCCCTGTGTTGGGCTCCATGCTGCATGTGGAGTCTACTTCAAACAAACAAACAAAAACAAAAACAAAAACAAAAAAACCCACAACACTAAAATGAAATGCAACTTTATAAGATAATATCAAAAAGTTGAAAAATATCACCTATTGTCAAGAACAAGAGAAAATGGGAATTCTCATTCACCGCTTCGAAAGCATAAGCTGTGGAAGTTACAGTACATACTATAGTGAAAATTAAGCATCCTGAAACCCAGCAATCCTAGATAAATATGCACACTTAAAGGTCAGGTATGAAGTTGTTTGGGGAGGCAGTCATTGTGATAGCATGGGTTCAAGGTACTTTGAGGTCTATCATTGAGAGAACAGATAAGTAAAATATGACAAATATTCATTATGGAATACAGTGCAATGCTTAGAAGCACTGAACTACACATATCTACACAGCAACAAGAATAGATATTTTTAACATAATAGTATGGGAAAAAATAAAAACCAAAGAGGTCTAAGATTAGTTGTATTATTGTTCTTCACAGGACTATACGTCCCACTTATTGGATGAAACTTGCAATGCCATTGTTCCCAACAGGTATACTTCCTCATCCCATGGTTAGGATTAGATATGACTGGTGGGGGCAAATGCCAAGGCTAAACTGAAGTTTTAGGAAGCATCACAATGTCTTCCAATTCTTTTGCTATTTTCTTTTCAAGAGAATAGCATGTCCATCAAAAAGCTCTGATCTTTTTTTTTTTTTTTTTAATCTTTTAACCTGGATCCTAAAGTGAGAATATGGAGGTGGAGAACTTCAACCTCCAACCCACCATCACTATCATGTAATGTGAGCAAGAAATAAATGCTGTCATAAGCCACCAAGATTTTAGTTGTTTGTTACTTCTGCAAACCTGACTCATATAAGGTCTATATCACAGCACAACCCATAAAAATTAAAACCAAGGAATACATACCTGAACAACACATAAAGATACGTATATATCCAAGGGCATATTTCAGCCACATTAGAGCAATGCCTATAAAACAGGGGAAGGGAATAGGAGTGGGGAATGGAGTAGAGGGGGGAAAGAAACAGATAAGAGAGAGCCTTTACACAGTTTGATGTGTAAGAACTGTGTTAAGAACACATGTGTTCCTCATGTGTTAAGAACTGAGGAAGAGGAGGGCGGGGCGTGCGGGGAGCGGAGGTCAGGCGGAGCAGGGCGAGCGTGCAGAAGCTGCTGCAGCGCGGCCCACGGCGAGGAGCTGTCTGAGCGGTCGGGACCGGAGCAGCCGCTGCGCTCGGTGCCTGGAAACGGTTTAATCATGTTTGAAATTAAGATCTGTTGCATTGGTGCGGGCTATGTTGGAGGACCTACATGTAATGTCATCGCTCATATGTGCCCTGAAATCAGGGTAACCGTTGTTGACGTCAATGAATCTAGAATTAATGCATGGAACTCTCCTACACTTCCTATTTATGAGCCTGGACTGAAAGAAGTGGTCGAATCCTGCCGAGGAAAGAATCTGTTTTTTTCTACCAATATTGACGATGCCATTAAACAAGCTGATCTTGTATTTATTTCTGTGAACACTCCAACAACAAAAACGTATGGAATGGGGAAAGGTCGCGCCGCAGATCTGAAGTATATTGAGGCTTGTGCCAGACGCATTGTGCAAAACTCACATGGGTACAAAATTGTGACTGAGAAAAGCACAGTTCCAGTGCGGGCAGCAGAAAGTATTCGCCGAATATTTGATGCAAACACAAAACCCAACTTGAATTTACAGGTGCTGTCCAACCCTGAGTTCTTGGCAGAAGGAACAGCCATCAAGGACCTAAAGAACCCAGACAGAGTACTGATTGGAGGGGATGAAACCCCAGAGGGCCAGAGAGCTGTGCAGGCACTGTGTGCTGTGTATGAGCACTGGGTTCCCAGAGAAAAGATCCTCACCACTAATACTTGGTCTTCAGAACTTTCCAAACTGGCAGTAAATGCTTTTCTTGCCCAGAGGATCAGCAGCATTAACTCCATAAGTGCCCTGTGTGAAGCAACAGGGGCTGATGTAGAAGAGGTGGCAACAGCCATTGGAATGGACCAGAGAATTGGAAATAAGTTTCTGAAAGCCAGTGTTGGTTTTGGTGGAAGCTGCTTTCAGAAGGATGTTCTGAATTTGGTTTATCTCTGTGAAGCTCTGAATTTGCCTGAAGTAGCTCGTTATTGGCAGCAGGTTATAGATATGAATGACTACCAGAGAAGGAGATTTGCTTCCCGGATTATAGACAGCTTGTTTAATACAGTAACTGATAAGAAGATAGCTATTTTGGGATTTGCATTCAAAAAGGACAGCGGTGATACAAGAGAATCTTCTAGTATATATATCAGCAAATATTTGATGGATGAAGGTGCACATCTCCATATATATGATCCAAAAGTACCAAGGGAACAAATAGTTGTGGATCTTTCTCACCCAGGAGTTTCACAGGACGACCAAGTGTCCTGGCTCATGACCATTTCTAAGGATCCATATAAAGCATGTGATGGTGCCCATGCTGTGGTTAGTTGCACAGAATGGGACATGTTTAAGGAACTGGATTATGAATGCATTCATAAAAAAATGCTGAAGCCAGCCTTTATCTTTGATGGGCGACGTGTCCTGGATGGGCTCCATAATGAACTACAAACCATTGGCTTCCAGATTGAAACAATTGGAAAAAAGGTGTCTTCAAAGAGAATTCCGTATGCTCCTTCTGGAGAAATTCCAAAGTTTAGTCTTCAGGATCCACCAAACAAGAAACCCAGAGTATAGACATCGCCATTTTTATTTGTAATTTTTTTGGTACTTTAGAATAGCAGATATCTATCTGATATTAAATGATAAATGAACCAAGTGTTTTTAAGGAAACAAAGCTATTTTTTTAATAATCAAATTTATACTAGCGGTATGGGAATTAGCATATCTGGTATTACGAATCTAGAATATTTTTTACATATTTTTATAATGTTGTTACCTCAGTGATTGGATGAGTGATAATCATGTTGGTTTTAATTGTGTCAACTTTTGTAAAACAAAAATTAAACCTCAAACACTTTTGATTATACAAAATGTTCATAGGCAGCACTTTAATATCACATCGTAAAGGAAAAGGCACTCTTCAGTTTTTCTGATCATTGGTTTATTTACTTGTCATTAAATCTGTATTTTAAACCATGAAATTGCTATTCTGAATACTGGGCTAAGCTGGCCAGCCTTTCTAAAAGTGTCCTGGAGACTTAGAGGCATCTGGCTTAATTGGGTAACCTGTTTTCAAGCTTTTCTTGTCTCTCTGAATATGGAAGGAAGATGCAGTGGCAGGATGGGGCCCTGTGTGCTTTTCTCTCTTTTCTTTTTTGAATGTGCTTAAAACATTTTCCCTATACTTCCATGTTACCAGTGACCCTGAAAGTTTGGTTTGAGTTAATGTTCCTTTGCTCCTTTTGTTTTAAGGAGCTGTGTCGTTGTTGTTTTAGCCCAAGATCATCACTGTTCATTTCCAGTCAATAAAATAAGACTAAAAGGCAATTTTTTTAATCATGAAGAATATATCAGTATTAGTCTAGTTTATTCTTCACTTCTCGTTTTTTCCCACTGATCATTATTTTTTTTAGTGCAGGAGACAAAAATATTTGTTACCTTAATTTTGCATTTTATTTCTGTAACTCATTGAAGTTTCCTTTTTCTTTAAATAAGAAAACCAATATAATCTCATGTATGAGCTTAATGAAGCAGATTTTTAGAAATTATGTATGGCATAATTCTAAAATAAGAATTTCTGTATGTTTTCATATGCTCTTTTCTTATGTCTCTTATTTACTTATATTTTATTTTCTCTTGTGCTTTATCATTATTGAAATATGTCAGATGTCCATCTGTTGCTTGTACTATGCTGAGAATGTACAAATAAAGTTGAACAGATACATGTCTCATCCTTTAGGAATTTTGCAGTTCAGTACGAATGCAGAGACAAATATAAAGATGAGGATAGACATCTACAGATATCACATACATAAATAAAATATTCTGTATCAAAAAAAAAAAAAAGAACTGAGGAAGAGGAGTAACCCAACTCTGTATACGTGAGGTCCAAAAGATAGTAACAGGCTCTGGAGCTGGGAGTAACTGTTGGAGGGAGGTTGGGAATCTAGAATCCAAGTAGAGAAAATCAGCCTTGGGATCACCAGCTCATTCTGAGAGAGAGACACTAAAGAAGGCCTAGTAAAGGACTCAGTTTCCAATGTAATCTGTAGCAAAGATTTTCTACCATGTGTGAGTGAGGGGCTCAAGTGGCTTCAAGAGAGAGATATAAGAATAATAAGTTCCAAAAAAAAAAAAGAATAATAAGTTCCTTTGTCCTCAAAGAATTTATATTCTTTTTTTTAAAGATTTTATTTATTTACTTGAGAAAGAAAGAGAGAGCATGAGCAGGAGGAGGGGCAGAGGGAGAGGGAAAAACATACTTCCCACTGAATGGGGAACCCAATGTGGGTCTCAATCCCAAGACTCCAAGATCATGATCAGCTGAAGTTAGACACTCAGCCAACTGAAGCATCAGTTGAGCCACCCCAATGCCCCAAAGAACTTGAAGCATCAGTTGAGCCATCCCAATGCCCCAAATCCTATCCATCTCCAAAGGCCTAGTGTTTCTTTCTCCCAGTAGACTAAAGGATCTTTAGGAGTCATATCATCTGGCAGGTAGAGTGCATTACATATGAAGGGTATTTCAAAAAAAAGTAAATATAAATGAAAGTTAAAATGTCAGACAGCAAATTATAATTGATAAATCAATGAGTCAAATAACAAATGTGATAGGATTTCAGAAGAGGCCAAAACATTTTGAGCTGGTCAAGAAAGGAAGGACCTGGAAAGATGAATAAGATTCTGCTAATTATGTAAACACAGGAAGAACATTCCAGGATAAGGGAAGTCTGTAAGCAAGGGTGAAGAGTTAGGAAGAATTGGGGGGAAAATTTAAGTTAGACTCCTACCTCATACTGCATACCAAAAATGAATTTCAAAGTATTAAAGGTTTAAATGAAATAACATATAATTTTAGAAAAAAAATGGAAGATTGGTTTTATAATTATAGGAGTGGAGGACACCTTCCTAAGTAACACCTTGAAGCATAAACATATTTTTATGACAAGTCTTCATAAATAAATTTAAGAGGAAAAAGTAAAAGAATAGGGGAAAAGTTTACAACACATATGTGGCAAAGACTTGTTTTCCATAACACATAAAGAAACTTTTATAAATCAATATGAAAAGAAACTCAAGACTTCTGATTTCTGGTCTGGCATAAGAAGCCTGGAAGTTGTCACTTGGTCCTAACAAGTAAAAAGTTGAACAGATGGAAAAATCAACAAATCTCCCTAAGTCCCTCAGAGAAGTGAGGTCACAGGGCAAACCACTGCCCCCGAAATTGGAGAAAACAGGTGAATACAGAGAATCACAACTTACTGGAGCAGAAACCTCTGCAGGAAACAGTGCCAGGAAAACAAAGTAGGTAAGCTTAAACTGTAATGGGCAAGTTGCCAGCCAGTGTCAGCATGGCAAGTTGCCAGCAGCCATCAGTATGACAAGTCTGAAAATTAAAAACTCCAGGAGAAACCAGTGATGGGGGACCCTCCCCCCCTTTTGTGAGTTTACCTTCAGGAGCATGACCTGATTCTCAGAGTGAATATTAGAGAAGGGTCCCCTCATGCTTCCAGCAGGGAGAATGGGCAAGTAATCATTTGGAAATACACCAGAGCATTCTGATCTTAACAAAGCCTTCCCTAGGGAGAAACTATTTAACCAGAGCCAAAACTATCTGTGGTTTTTCAGAGCCTAACCAAATTGGTGAAAAGAAAATAATTCTAGCCCACTCTACTCTTCCATGTGGAAGAAGGGAAGTTTCCCATTTCAGCCCACTCTATCTATCATTTCTCAACTAAGCAGAGGGGAGAAACTAGGAGAAACACTTGTAAAGTTCACAGTCCAGAGGCAAATGTTCATTAAAAGACTACAAACTAGTCACAGGACCATCACGGGCTTATTTACTGAAGTTCCCATTACCTCAAGTCCAGCTATTAAGGAAAAAAATCACAACATAATAAAAGGGTTAAAAAACAGGAGTGGATCAGTCAGTTAAGTATCTGACTTTTGATTTTGGCTCAGATTATGATCTCATGGGTCATGAGATCAAGCCCTGCATTGGGCTCTGTGCTCAGTGGGAAGCCTGCTTGAACATTCTCTTCCTCTTCCTCTGCCCCTCCCCCAACTCAAGGGTACATGCACTCTCTCTCTTTCTCTAATAGATAAATAAGGGGTACCTGGGTAACTCAGTCAGTTAAGTGTCTCACTCATGATTTTGGCTTGAGTTGTGATCTCAGGGTTGTGGGAACAAGCCCCACATTGGGCTCTACATTCAGCATGGAGTCTCCTTGTCCCTCTCCCACTGCCCCTCCCCCACTTACTCTTTCTTTCTCAAATAAATAAATAAATAAAAATAAAAAATGAATAAATAAATCTTTAAAATATAAATAAAAGGATAAAAAACACAGTTTGAAGAGACAAAGATTCATCAAAAACAGACTCAGGCATGGTAGAGATGTTGGCAGAGAATTTAAAACAATTATGATTAATATGCTAAAGGCTCTAACAGATAAAGTAGTAGGTAGGGAATGTAAGCACCTAGGCATATAATATTCCAATTGCAGAAAATCAACAATACAGAAAACATCTTGTAAGAAACCAGAGGGAAAAACCACCTCACTGATAGAGGAGCAAAGATAAAAATTACAGTTGACTTTTCTTCAGAAACAATTCAAGCAAAAAAGAAAAAAGAAAGAAAGAAAGAAGGAAAGAAACAATTCAAGCAAGAAGAAAATGAGTGAAATATTTAAAGCACTGAGAGGAAAAAAAAAAACCTACCAACACAGAATTCTATACCCTGTGAAATTATCCTTCAAAAATGAAGGAGAAATAAAGACTTTCTCAGATAAGCAAAAATGGAAAGAATTTGCTGCCAGCCAACTTGTCTTGCAGAAAATTGTAAAAGAAATTCTTCAGAGATGTGAAATGATATAGGTCAGAAACTCACATCCACATAAAGAAAAGAAAAATATCAGAAAAAAATAGGTGAAAGTAAAACAGAAATTTATTATTCTTATGTTTAACTGATTGAACAGACAGGCTTGTTCAAAATAATAATAGCAATAATGTATTTGAGTATGTATGCTTAAGTATATACATATGCTTATGTATGCTTAAATATAAGTGAAATGAATGACACAATGATACAAAAGACAGGAGGGAGGAATTAGGATTATTTTGTTATTATAAGATACTCATACTACCAGTTAAACCATATAGTGTTATTTGCAAGTGCACCTAGATTTGTTATACATGTATATTGCAAACCCTAGGGTGACCATAAAAAAAGAAGTATAATTGACATGTTAAGAAAGGACAGAAAATGAAATCATATAAAATGTTCAAGTGAAACCACAAAAGGCAGAAAAATAGTAGCAAACAAAAAAATAGGAACAAAGAACAAAGGCAACAAATAGAACACAGAAACAAATATGGTAGACATCAATCCAATTATAGCAATAGTCGCTTTAAATGTCAATGGTCTAAATACATGATTTAAAAGAGAAAGATTGTGGGGCACCTGAGTGGTTTAGTTGGTTAAGTGTCTGCCTTCAGCTCAGGATCTCACAGTCCTGGGATCAAGCCCTGCATTGGGCTCCCTGCTCAGCAGGGAGTCTACTTCTCCCTCTCTCTCTCCTTTTGCATCCTACCCCTGCCACTCACACATGCATGCACTCTCTCTCTCTCTCTCTCTCTCAAATAAATAAATAAAAGAAAAAATAAATAAAAGACAAAAGATTGTCAGAATGGATTAAAAAAGAAGACCCATCTGTATGTTGTCTACATGAAATCCATTTTAAATATAAAAACACATAGATTAAAAGTAAATAAAGAAAGCTGTATCGTGCCAATGCTGATTCT